TCATTTTTGTCAATCTGTTGGTTGTGAGCTCAAACCTAACGGTTGTTCTGATTTGCATTTCCCTTATTATTAGTATTTCTCATTCTTTCATATAGTTATTGACACTCTTCTTTCGAATTCATTTGTTCATATTCTTTGACTACTTATTTGCTGGGGAAGAGTTTCTTATGTCCTAACTTTTCATTGTTTAGCTATGTTGCACAACAAACCCTAGCAGTATTGTACTGCTGGCTGAGCTGTAAACTGGTTTCAGTCATCCTGAAAAGAAATTTTAAATTAAGGCAAAAAAGTTATTAAACTATGCATATTCTTAAACCCAGTCATACCACTATTATATCTACATCCCAAAAAGATCAAAGAAAGAATAGGATACACACACACACACACACACACACACACACACACACACACACACATTTGTAGCAGCTCTTTTTGTAGTGACAAAGAACTAGAAGCTGAAAGGGGGGTCCATCAATTGGGAAATGGACATAATGGAATATTATTTATTATAAGAAATGATGAGGTTAATGGTTTCAGATAAAGCTGTGAAGATTTATTTGAATTGATGCACAGTGAAGTGAAGAGAACCAGGAAAATAATTTAAATGATAATAATTTTATAAAAAATAACTTTACAAGACTTAAGAACTCTGATAAATGCAATAATCAACTATGATTCCAGAATATTCAAGATAAAACATACTACCCACCTCCTGACAGAGAGGTAATGGACTCAGCGTACAAACTGATATAGAAAGAGAAAGACACACACACACACACACTCACACTCACATATGTATACAGGCATGACCAATGAGGGAAGTTGTTTTGCTTATCCATATTTATTATAAGAGCTACATTTTCCTATTTCCCAATTAGAGATGTAGGGAAAGTTGGGGGATTGAAAGAAGGATTTTGGTTAACTGAAATGGTAATGTAAATTATGTAAAAAAAAAGAATGTAAATTAACTTCGGCAGTATTGCTATCAAACAGCCATGAATACTACATATTAATGACCTCAACTATTTAAATAATTATTTAGCTAAAGGGCACCCTATAACTGAATATACACAAGTATTTGTTGTGTTTTAGCAGACTGAAACCCAAATATTTTATACATTTTATAGTTAGCTAGAATGGAACCTCCATTTCTATTTCTGCCTCTTGGATTTTGTTAGTACTATATAAAGAAATGCAATTGATTTCTGTAGGTTTATTTTGTAGCCTGAAGCTACTGTCCCAATTAGTATCTTGGATTCCGCACTATTTTTCTAAATAAAACATCATGTCACGAGCAAAGAAATAAGTTTATCTCCTCTTCACTATCTTTACACCTTTTCTTTAGATGAATCCATATTTTAAGGACTAAACTCTATAATTTTTTAAAAATGTATTTATTCTTGTATTATTTCTTGCATTACGGTATTCAGGTTTTTTGATTTTTTGTTTCTGAGAGACCTATAATCCTTAAGTTATAGGCATCTTGCTCTGATATCAATATGTTTTGCTTGTATGGGTATAATTTTTTTAAACATCACTGCTTTTTGCTTTTCTTCCAGAAAGGAAATGCAAATACACAGAAGTGAAGGATAATCATCTGTTCTTTCATTTGTTTCTTGAGGGAAATTAATCACTACGGATTCAAGGTTTTCTAATATGCTAATTACATATGTTGGGTAGGCCATAAGTTCTGCTTTCAGAGTTCTTATTTCTCATATTTGGTAACATCTTCTTGTCTCTCCACGCTCTCCTGGAAATCCACAGGGTCATTTGTCTCATGCATGTTGCTTCCTTTTCCTTTGTTTTTTAGAAATATTTACTCAGAGATATTTGGACTCGTTTAGCTGTCCTAGAAGTGATCTTCCCTTCTATTTTTAATATCTTCCTTGCTGATTTGTCTACTTGTTCTCAGTGTTCTTAATTGATTTTCTACCTCCTGAGATGTTTAGTAATTTTAGCCTTTTTTCCTTATATTCTCTTATATCTCACTTTCTGACTTCTTCCCCTCTGATGGTGAATGCTCAAGGGTTGGATTTCAAAACTATCTCAGCTTATTCCCACACTGGGGAATTCACTTCTCATTGGCTTCAGCCCCAAATTACTTCTGGGTTGGAGGTGAGAGGGAATTCAAATGGCCCTACCCTGGTGGAACTCAACCCTCTCCTCCCTCACCCATCACACCCAATATATGCTGGCACTCTGCTCCAGTTCCCTTTGTACTTAATCTTCTGGCTACATACTGCTTCAGCATGGCAGGAATGGCAGTCCCAGGAAGAGTAAGCTTCAATTTTTCTATACCTCTAGCATGGGTGTCAGGGGGAGAGTGCTGAAGAGGGAAGAATTTAGTTTTTGATGCTTGTTTTAACAGAATGGTGGGGTGAGAAAATTGCTTGGTGGATCCCAGAGCACTAGGTCATAGCTCCCACTATGTAGCTCTGCCAGAGTATGTAGGCTGGTGGGAAAGAGGAGTATTAAGTGACAGTATAATGAAATAGTATTCTCTGCTGTTAACTAATCAAATTGTTACCTCTTTAAGGCTGTTGGTATGAAGATAGCAGCAATTAATATACCTCTTGGGGAATTTTGAGAATTCAGAGATCTTAGGAAGTCTAGTTCTCCATTCTGTTTACCGTGTGACCAGAACCCCTTTAAAATTCTGATTGAGTTTCCTGCATAAATTCTCTATGATTTAGAAATTTCTCTCTCTCTTGTCTTTCTTACAGGAACAATTTCTGTTGATATCAACAGAATTATACTGTTTACAGCATTCCATCCCTCTTATACCAACTTACTGTACACAATCTCAAGCTATGAAATCGTACATACACTTTCTCTTAACTGTTTAAAATAATTTCTTCCCAAATCTTGCTTCAGAATCAGACTATGTCCAGAAATTCTTCACCTTAGCACTCATGAATCTAAGATGTCACGGTTATGTCTTTCTCTTACTTCTACTTCAGCAACCAGTTCCTCCTACTGGTTAAAATCAGGTCAAGGATACCAGTTCCCCTCCACCCTTCCTACATTCTGCGGTCCAGCCAGATAGCCTTTCTGGCTGCTCCTCACACACAACAATCCATTTCTCATCTCTGTCTTTGCAACAGCTATTCCCCATGCCTGCAATGTAATTCTACCTCATCTCTACCTTTTAGAATCCCCTGTTTGCTTGAAAACTCAGTTCAAATGCTATCTTCCTCCCTTTTCCCTTCCCCTGATCCCCTTAGCTACTAGTGCACCCCATTACCTTATACATACTTATATTGGTACATGTAAGCTTTCACTGATAGAATATAAGTTCCTTGGAGGATTGTTTCATTTTTTGTGTCCTCAGTGTTTCTTCCACAAAGTCCTACTCTGACACTTCATCATGGTGTGGAGGTAACCCTGGGTTCTCAAAGCTATGGCAGATTCTACCATGTTAGAAAAGATTCAATGATAGCTCTGGCAAAAAGACCAAGTCTATTTCCCAAGCTAACTACAGAGAGAGACATCACAACTGCAATGGCCAGCAGGTAATGAATTTGTTTTTGGCCACAGCAAACAAGCCATGAAATAAATTTTAAAAAATTTGAATGCCCTCAGATCTGTCCATCCTCATTTTGCTTCTATAGTGATGGCAGCATATTGGCAAGAAAGAAGAGAAGACAGTGGGTGCTAAGAATCATGATTTTTAGGCCATCAATAGACTTTAACTTGACTACTATTACTCTAAATGTGAGATCTTCATATAATTACCACAGAGCAGACATATTGCTAAAGGATCTGAATCAATCTTGACATTCTTGCTATAATAAAAACGAGAAGAAAGAAGTTTCAGCTAAATGGAAAGATGGCTTACTAATCAGAAAGGCAAAGAAAACAGTTGGTGGAATGGGTTTTATTGTACCACCAAAGACAAGAATATTTGTTCATCATCTGTTACAATACCAACAAACCAAATAAGATAACATATGTACAGTGTTTTGCAAACTTTAAAGAGCTCTATAAATACTTGCTATTATTATCATTATCCACCAAAGACAACAACAACAAAAAACTCCACAAAAACAACTGCAGCTTATATACCAAAATCAGCTTCCATGGTTGAAGAGGTAGAGAAAAATTTATGAAGTACGTGATAAGACCCTCCAAACTAAATCAATAAACACTCTGATATTTGGTAACTTCAATGGGAAAAGTAGAAAAGGTAAAGAAGGGAAGGATATGGTTCAGAAAGAAGAAAGCAGAGTCCAAAGACTTGCAGATTACACAGAAGCTCCAAGCCTCTTCAGCACGAAAATTTTCTTAAAGAAAAGAATTGATAGTGTTATCAAATAACATCATAAATAACAAGTATATGTATATATATTTACCAAACAGAAAAAAGACTTGTTTTTGATATGAAAATTATCCCTAAGTAAGCAATCTAAATGAACTCAGGTTATTCTCAATACCTATACTTGTTGAATATCCTTCTGTTATGCTAAGTAAATTTCCTCTTGCTAATTGGTGAATAATTTCAACATATTTCATTTTGTTCTAATACTGAACCTAAAGCACCAAAGGGCTAACCTGAGTCAAGGCACATCCCACAACATGCGTCAATACAAAATCTTTGTGAAAGTCATCTATACATAAAATGAAAGTATCCTTGATGATGCTATTTCTAGGGAACAAACAGGCTTCTACAAACAAAATTCATCAATGGCTCACATTTTCACCATTTCACAATGAAGTTCAAGATATAAAGAACATAAGATTCCATTGCTCATTACTCAGGTCTTTGATTTGGTAGAACAAGATGCCTCCTTAGAAGTACTTTTACAATTAAGTATCTACTATCCAGACATCAGAATCATTCAAAATTTCTTGAAAACTTTAACTGAAATAACCCTACTCGACAATCCTCTGGATAATAAACAACAGATGAGAAATAAAATAGGGAAATGTGTGTTTGCCAAAGGTATTTGCCACTGTAATAGATGAGATCCAGTGGAGTGTCCAAGTTGAAGAGGAATTACCTGTAGATGGTGAGGTCCTCCAGATGTTCCTGTTTGTGGATGACACTGTGCTGATTACATCAAGCCCCGGGACACTGCAGAGCCTCCTGGAAGAGATCTGTAATCACTCAAAGGAGTTTGGACTATCTATCCACACAGGAAAGATCAGATGGATGAAGAACATCCATTGTACAAAATATACATGCATTTAGAGAGACAATCTATAAAGAGTTTATCCAACCGATGTATATCTGGGTAAGACAGTACAGATGGGCAATGAGATGGGCCCAGAGTTGAATAGGTGAAGAGCATGCTAAATTGACTTGAGGAAAATGCAAAGCTCATTGATCTCAAAGCTTACTATGATGGCAAAGACATATCTTTTAATACTAATATCTTACCAGCATTGCTATATGCAGCAAGACGTGGAATTACAAAGAATTAAAAATGAGTAGCACACAAAAGGCAATGGATAAAATACATGGTGGGAGTATTTAAGGTATTAACAGCTAACCGGGAAGGAATTCTGAACAACAGAGTAAAAGATATCAAGGAATTACATGATAGAAAGAGAAAATGGGCTGGCCACATGACAAGGGCAAGGGATGACAGGTTAGATAGTCACAGTGCATCAATGGTAGATTGTGATATCAGGAGAAACCAAGGAAGGCTTCCAGCACATTGGTTGGGCCACCATGACAAACTTACGGAAGCATATGAATAAGAATCACACAGGATGGACACACATGAATAAGTTGCAACCTGAATCACTGGAGAAAACTGCTGAATCTATGAGAGTGTAGACCCATTTGAGTATTTGTATAGTGACCCAAATGCCTAGTAGGCACTTAAGAAATGCTTGGTGATTGAAGTTTAAAATTTCTTCAGCTGCTTTTTAGTATAGAGCAGGAGTTCTTATCATTTTTGGCATCATGGACCCCTCTAGCAATCTGATGTAGTTATACTGACCTGATTACTGTTCCACAAACAATATACTTTATCTCGTAACTCTATACATTTTTACCTGTTTTTCCCCATACCTGGCTTTCAATTCCCATGATGCTACAGAGCCTTCCTTCTGAGTGTTTATCTCCAATTTATTCTGTAAATACTTTGCTTGTACATAGCTGTTTTCTTGAGGGCTGTGAAGGGTTTTTATTATTGTTTTTTTTTTCATTTCTTTATATGCTGGTGCTTATGTCCCTGGTACATAACAGGTGCCTTTTGATTTGAACTGGTGAAGGTTATGGACTCTTTCTCAGAATGTTTTTAAATGCATAAAACAAAATACATAGGATTGAAAAGAAAGCCAATATTATTAAAATACAGTTATTAAAATATTTTAAAAATCAAGTTCATAGACACCAGATGTAGAGAAACTGTCAAACTCTATTGTAAAAACCTAAAGGACTATCACTCATAAATTTTGAAGATTGAAATAATGTCATTCATTAATTTAGGTAAATGTCACTTGTGTTTTTAGCCTTTCAATTAAAAGTACCTTAACATGCAGTATGCTTTAAGCCTTTTTAAAGAAATATACAATAATCCTTTACTTATCTAGAATCATTAGGAAATGAGGTCATAGGAGCAAGAGTTAAGAGTGACACCCTGAAGAACTCATTGGTCATAACCCCCTCATTTTATAGATGAAGACACCGAAGTCCAGAGAGAATAGGTGACTTGAAGGTCACATAGGGAATAAACAGAAAAGATGTCTTCCACTGAACAGAAATACATAAAAAATTTCACTTAAGCACTAATACTTTAATCATTTTGAACATCTAACTTTTTCTTAAATCTCTGCTATAGCCCAGTGATGCTCTTTCATAGAATAGCAAGGTATGAAGGCTGTTTGACCCAGGTTGTGTTTTTTTTTTAATTTTATTTTTAAATTGTTCTGCTTACCAATTATTTCTATGTGCTTACAGCCACTTTGATTTCCCACACCACCTAGCTTTGACAATCAGATACCAGACATTGTGCTTTTTAAGGAACCAAAACATATTATAAAGGCTACATATCAAAGCTCAAGTACTTCAGACATAGAAGAGCTTTAACTAAACAGAATTTATTTTTACCCTTGGCAAATTTCTGTCTTGGTTATCTAGTTTTTTAGCCTTCAAAAATTTCGAAGTATCAAATTATATTAAGGAGGGGTGGGTGGGCAACAGACTTAAGAAATAAAAAGGTATCTCTGACGTCATCTAATCCAAACTATTTTTATACTTGTGGAATTTGAGTCCTTGAAGTATTTGTTAACTCATCTAACGTCACCCAAGTAGGGAGTGGCAGGGTTGAAATTTCAATCCTGGCCCTCTAACTCCAAATTTCACACTCTTTCCATTTCTTCAAACTGCCTCCAAAAGATTAAAGCAGGGAAAATAGAAGAAGGGGACTCCAATCATTAAGTCTCTAACTTTCTAGCTACCTGAGACCAGGAGTGGGAGAAAAGTGTGGGGTTATCAATCTGTTATACTAGGCCTTAGAAGTATGGTACCTCATGCCCTATTGTGGGGCAAACATGTTTACAGATTGGGGGATAAATGTTCTGACACTGGGGCACTGGGTTCTGGTTCTCCAAGATGGGGTGGAGGGGAGAGGAGAGAGTAGTGTGGCCAGGGGCTCAGGCATCATGAACAGCACCAGCAAGGAAGATCAGAAATCAGAGGGTAACAAGAGGGCGGAATGAAGAATCTAACTTTGTAAATAAATTAAGTATAATACTAAATGGATTGGAAATACTTGGTACATTTGCACTCACACAACTTTTACTGTAAATTTAGGAAGAATTCAATTTTCAGTTCAGTTCAATGAAGATTTATTAAGCACTTACTATACATTTCAGCATACATATAGAAAGACTTTCTGATAAAACTGGACTGAAAGATACGAGTCAAGACCTCTTCCATGGCTGTGGCAGACTATGATGCAGATTATCTCACTAAATAATTTCTTCTGGAAATATAGAATCTGATAGGTAATAATAATAAGCTAGCTAATACCTAATATTGCACTTTAAGGTCTGCAAAGCTCTTTAGAAATATTACATCACTTAATCTCCACAACAAGCCTGGGAGGTAGGTGCTATTGTTATCTTCATTTCACAAATGAAAAAAACTAAAGATAAAAGCTGAGTGACTTGCCCACGGTCACACAGTCTGTGTCTGAGGCAGTATTTGAACTCAGGTCTTCTTGGCTCCAGGTACAATACACTATCCATTAAGCCAGATGTTTTTTATGTTGAGATCTAGCAGTGAATACTAGGGAAGCAGTGGGCAGAGTGATGTATGTCCCTGCATACAGCCTGCCCAGGTCCCAGAAGTCCCTCTTTTCTCACCAGTTTTGTAGTTCACTGTAGTCAGCCAACATATGCTTCTAAATCCATTTGAAATCAGTTTTCAAGCCAATAGCATGGTGCTTTGACTGCAGTAGACACTCACAGATGGATCTTTTGGCTCACTAAGGATCAAAAATTTCAAATGTGACACTGCCATGGATCTTAGTTGGATCAGATGACTCTCCAAGTCCCTTTCCAACTTTAAGATTATATGAACTTACATGAAGACCCTTTTTTTTTTTTTTTGCTGAAGCAATGAGCTATACCCCTAACTACCTACCTTCTACAACACATTCCTTGGCTGAATAGGAGACATCTTCAGGCTTTAAGGAAAATGCTAGTCCACAGTTCAAAAACATAAAAATAGTGGGTGAATGACAGCCACCACTCAGGATAAACCTAGTTAAGAAGTAGAAACTATGTGGATTCCAATGATCATACAGAATCGTTAGTCCTCCAAGAATAACCATGACAACTCTTCTACACCAGTGACTCATGTAATCAAGTACAATTTGTTTTCTCTTTTGGGAAAAAGACTGATAAAATGATAAGTTTAGTAATTTATCCATGGTTTGATGTTTTAAAGGTCAGATTCTTCCCATCTAATCGTCTGTCAAAGACAAGATATGTTCTTTTTTTCTTCCCTAAATTTTATCTTGAAAAATATACTTTTGCAAAAGACTAATCTGGATATTTAGGTGGGGGGAGGGGAAGCTTGTATTTTTAAAAACAAACAGCAAACAATTTATACTGACAGATAAATTAGAAAAAAAATTAAAGGTTTTCATTCAAAATGTAAGCATGTACAGGAATTTACAGAATAAAATAAAATTTACAAAGAACAACAGCTTGTCAAATACATTTCTATTTCAAATTTTATTTCAAGTATCATGTAGATTTAAGAAAAGGATTTGTTGTCTTTACCAATAATCCTAGAAAATTCCAATCATTTTACTTATGCACCTCATTCCAACTCAGACCTTCCTTGTATTTCAAAGTAGCTCAAAAGAAACATGAGATGCACAAATTTTAGAGACATCTCCATTCCAAATGTTCATATGGATTACTTCTGCCAGACCTGGTAGAGCCTTCCAAGCTCATGTTAGTTTGATCAGCCACAACTGGATACATCATACACTGACCCCAACATAGCAATATCACTTTGGTCTTCTTCAATTACAAAGGACAACAACTAGGTAAAAGGGTAAAAATGGGTAGTTCACATCTCTATGTGATAACCTATAAAAAGTTCAAAATAAAATACTCAGGCTGATACATCATAACTGTTTTCTTTATTAGAACCTATTAAGTCTTTGATATCACATAACTACATTGAAAATTCCCTCATTTTACAAGGCTGAATTACAGTATAGATTACCATTGACTACAACTTCCGTATATAGCCCTGGGCTACCAACCATTAAATTTATAAGATATTTATGCACAATTATTATCTGAAGACAATGTAACATGACATTGTGACAAGTAATACTCTTATTTGCTTGAGTCACTCATCTAGTAGGTTCAAGTACCAAGGAATCATAGTCAAGGATCACAGCTTCTACAATGAACAAGAGGAAAACTTGGAATACAATACTCTAAAAAAGCAAAAGATAGAGATCCTGCAAAGTATAATCCTAAAGGGAAATAAAATAGACCTGTAATGTGTGAAAGCATATCAAACAACTCTTTTAGTTCAACTGAAAATATTAGGAATTTTTTTTCTAGTCTAAAAATTTTCTAGACTTTTTCTTTTAGGGAAGTATGTAGAAGATTTAAGACAAAAAGGCCTTCCTCTGGAAAAATGAATTAGGGTGAAAACTAAATTTAACTCTTATCTCATTAAGGTCAAGTCAAGTAGCATTTATTAAGAGCTTATTATAGGCCTCAGACATAGTTGTTAGCATGTTATTGCTCCAAGTTCCTTGACAGCAGGGACTGGTTTTTACCCGTCTTTGTATCTCCATAACTTAGCATAATGCCTGGTACTGAAAAGCATTTAATAAATGCTTATTAATTTGACCACTATCTTTTCTTTTCTTTACCCCTTAATCTTTCTCTTTCTAGAATATTATCTCACAGAACCCAGAAGTACAATCTGGACATTAATAATGTGATTCTTCAAAGGTTTCTCCATTTAAAACCATGTAAGTAAGTGCTCAACAAATTCTTATTAACTTGACAGATTAAAGTACTTTGTAAAATATGGCATTTTTAGTCAAGAACCCAATTGATCTCAGAGAGGGGATCAGTTGGTGAAACCAGGAATGTTTAAAGTTGAATCGCTGTCATTTTTTTTCTCTTCTGTTGAGTTTTGTTTCCTCTTTCTGAAGGCTCCTCCAACTGGTTTTGATTTTTATTTACAACTTCACTTAGTGTGAAAATGTGTTTAATAGGAATGTAAATATATAGCTTATATCAGATTGTGTGCCATCTTGGGGAGGGTGGTGGGGAGGAAGGAGGAGAAAAATTTTAAACTCAAAAGCATATGGAAGTGATTTTGATAAATCAAAATAAGCTTAATAAATTTTTTTAAAAATTAAAAAAAAAGAAACTAGGAATGTTTAATCTAAAGAGAGAAATTCAATTAAATCAACAAGTACTGGTTATCTGCTGTGTAGTGACCACTCTGCTAGGCACAGAGGGTACAAAAATACAACCCATACCTCCCCAGCAAAACATAATCCATGACTTTACGATTTTCAGTCTTTCTCAACTATGTCCAACTCTTCTGACCTCATTTGGAGCTTTCTTGGAAGAGATACTGGAGTGGTTTGCCATTTCCTTCTCCAGCCCATTTTACAGATGAGGAACTGAGGTAACAGGGTTAAGGAAATTGCCCAGGGTCATATAGCTGGTAAGTGTCTGAGGCCAGATTTTAATGGAGGAAGATGAGTCTTCCTGACTTCAGGCTTGGCACTCTATCCACTGCACCACCAAGATCCTTGCCTTTACGATAGTCACCAATATTTGAAGGGCTAAACTGTAGGAGAGAGATCAAAGTTGTCCTGCTTGGTCTCAAAAGAAAGATCTAGAAGCAATGCACAGAAATGACAGAGAAGCACATTTCATCTAATATAAGGGAAAACTGCCCATGTTAAAGAAGTCAAAAATGGAATGAATGAGTTCCGACCAACGAAGGTCTCCAAGTAGAGTTGGATGACTTTTTGATATCCAAGGAGGGCCTTTAGCTAAGTTATTTGTCTTCCTTAAATCTCAAATACCATTCTGTCTGGACCTCTTCTAAGCATCTGATATAACTTGTATTATGCCTTCTATTCTTTTAAATCTTTTATTGAAGTCTTTGAGAGAAGGGATCATATATTTTTATATCCCCAGGACTTAAGATAATGCATTGCATACAAGAAGCATTTTTTTTTCTGTTGAACTGAAAATACTGAAGAAAAAACCTCAAAGATCCCCTCAAACTTTGCCATTCTATGATTTAATAAGCCTCATCACCTGCATAGAACAATTATCCCAAAACAATTTGTAGGTTTGGAGAAAACTTCAAAGATTGTATATGAAGTCCCCACACAAAAGAAATCTTTTTTGGTTGGCAATTCTTTTTCACTTAACTGAATCCTTAGAGCAAGTGTCCTAATAATAACCATAAATTTCTAGTTAGTGTGGCATACATCAGTAGTATTGTATTTTTATAAAAAAAAAAAGGTAACCATTAAAAAGAAACTGCTCTTCTCCTACTTCTGTGGGCTTTTCTACTTCTAACATGGCAGGGGAATGGAGATTATGATGTTTAGCCTGGAGAGAATTCAGTCAACAAGTAGTGGGGAGATCTAGATATGAAAGGCCACGGAAGTATCACGAAAATTTTATGGGGGAAAAATAGTCAACAGTGTCAAGTGTATTAGAGAAGTCAGAAAGAAAAGAGGACTACACAAAGGCCACTAGAGATACAGACACTAAAAAAAACACTGGAACTTTGGAGAGAACAGTTTCAATTGAGTGTTAAGTTCAGAAGCCTGATTGCAAAAGACTAAGGATTGAGAGAAGGGAAAGGAAGTAGCTTGCTAGATTCCTTCAAGTTCCAGGTTAAACGACACCTTTCTATAGGAAGCCTTTCCCAATCTCTCTTAATGCCCTTCCTCTGTGGATTATTTCCTATTTATCCTGTATACAGCTCATTTGTACACAGATGTTCACATGTCTCTCCAATTACATTGGGAACTGCTCAAAGGCAGGGACTGTCTTTTTCCTTTCTTTGTATCCCCAGGATTTAGCACAGTGCCTGGTACATAGTACATACTTAATAAATGTTTACTGACTGAAGGAAGTAGAATCAATGAGTATATAGAACTTTTTCTGGGAGTTTGGCTAAAAGGGAAGAAAGACAGGCAGTTAAGTGGTGCAATGAATAAAGCACAGGTATACATTATTCCTCTATTAGATTCTAAGTTTCACAAAGGCAGACACTATACAAACTTTGTACCTCCCCCTTAATAAGCTTAGTGTTCTTCATACTGTAAGTTAATAAATATTTGTCATAAAAGTTATTTTACATGGATATTGTTCAAAAGAACAAGTGTGGTATAGTAAAAAGAGTCTTGATTAAGAGTCAGGAGAACTGGGTCTAAATAAGCTAGTGCCAGGGGTGAAGATGCTGTATCCTGAAGGCTACATGTGGCCTACTAGGTCCTTGGGTGCAGCTTTGTGACTGAGTCCAAGTTTTGCAGAAGAAATACTTTTATTAAGGGGATTTGTTCTGTGAAGTTTAGCTTCAAAGAGCCACACTTGAGGACTTATAGGGCCACATGTAGCCTCAAAGACAAAGGTTCCCCAACAATAATAGCCTATCATTTTATAATCACTGATTCTAGTAACATTAATTTATTAAAAATAGTTATAAAACATCTCTTATTTGAAAGGAAAACATAATGTGCTTATACACATACAAAATGCTTCATTCAGGTAAAAAATAAAATATCAGTCAAAACATTAAAGCTAGCATATTTTAATCAAAATTGCTGTCCTCACTTTATGAAGTTAGAGGTTACTGTAGCTAATTATATTTAAATACTATACCTAAAATCATAAATCTAAAGATTTAAGACTAAGGGGATAATTGAAAAAATATCAAATTTATATCGAAGGATTCTTTTCCAAGTGCTTTTAGACCAAATCTATATTTAAATTAGCCTTCCAAAGAACTTCCAAAAAGAAAACATTTAAATTACAATCCCAGATTGTTACCAGCTTTTCCCAAGCTCACCTATACAGCCCCAAATTAGACTAGTAACACTAAATTATAAATAGCAGAAAGAAAATTTTCAGTTCACATATAAAAATTGACCATGACAATTTTGGAACACAGGAAAAGTGTAACAGAGAAAAGTTTCATGAGCTTCTTTTATCTGGTTGGCTTATTTCAGGGCACAGTTACATAGGGACCTTCTTATTTTCATGGTTGTTTTGCCTTAAGCTCCAAGGAGTTCACATAGAATCAGTTAAGCATTTTATTGAGTATTTGCTTCATGCCAGGCAGCAAGATACTAAGCAAAAAGAAAAATAGTCCTTTGCTCTTAAGGAGTTTACATTCTAAAAAAGACAACCGGTACATTTATAGGTACATACAAGATATCAACAGAAACAAAGTTACCTCAGGCATACAATTTCAAAATTAGTTTCCTTTGCAATTCAAAAGTATTTCCTATAACATATATTCCAGACACCGCATATCCTCATTCAATGATAATAATAACAGTAGTTGCCATAATGGTACTTACATTTTAACAGGGATCAGATTAGAGGGGATCACAGATTTGGAACTGGAAGGAAACTTAGAAATCTTCTAGGCAAATCTCTTTTCTTTACAGATGAGGTAACAGGCTGAGAGTAACTGAACAACATGTCCAAAGTTGGGAAGGTTATTTTACATGCAAATCCAGGCCTTTTGACTCAACATCGTGTTCTTACCACCAAAACACAGCCATCAAGAATATAAATAACTATGATACATATGACTATGATGTCATTTTTATTATATTAGCTCGCCAACTCATGAGAAACTGATGTTTTTCCAATTATTCAGATCTGACTTTCTTTGTGTGAAAAGTGTTTTATAATTGTGCTCATATAGTTCCTGGGTTTGTTTCAATAGGTAGACTCCTAAACATTTTATAATGTCTACAGCAACTTTAAATGGAATTTCTCTTTCTATCTCTTGCTGTTGGGCTTTGTTGGTAATATATAGAAATGTCAATGATTTCTGTGGGGTTTTTTTGTTTGTTTATTTGTTTTCCTTGATAACAGTAAATTCTTTATTTTTCCTCTTAGGTGTTTCTGTTCTACCTCTGAATTAAGATGACCGCTAATACATGATGACAACCAAACTGTTTTTTCAAGGCTTGCAAAGTACTCTCCCTACACAACTCCTATTGATTCTCACGACAGTCCTGTGAATAAGGTGGCATCGATATTATCTCCATTTGGCAGATGAGAAAACAGGCTCAGAGGACTCAAATGACAAGTCTACTCTAATATTACTGGTAATGGCTTCAGTTGGGATTTGAAACCAACCTTTTTTTTTCACAGCTGATAAGTTTTATTTTTTTTAATATAAATTTATTTATTTTTGTTTCCAACATTCACTTCCACAAGTTTTTGAGTTACAAATTCTCACCCCATCTCACCCCCCCACCCCAAGATGGCATGCATTCTGAATATACCTTCCCCTAGTCTGTCCTCTCTTCCATCTCTCCCCCCTTCCCCTTCTATTTTCCTGTAGGGCAGGATAAACTTCTGTACCCCATTTCCTGTATTTCTTATTTCCCAGCAGCATGTGAAAACATTTTTTTTAAACATATGTTTTTAAAACTTTAGGTTTCAAATTTTCTCTCTTCCTCCCTCCCCACCCACCCTCATTGAAAAGGCAAGCAACTCAATATAGGTTGTACATGTGCAGTTATGCAAAACACTTCCATAGTAGACATGTTGGAAAAACTAACTCTATTTCCCTTAATCCTATCCTGCCCTCCCATTTATTCTATTCTTTCTTTTGACCCTGTCCCTCCTCAGAAGTATTTACTTCTGATTACCCCTTTCCCAATCTGCCCTCCTCTCTATCATCCCCCTGCTCTCTTGTCCCCTTCTCCCCCTATTTTCCTGTAGGGTAAGACAGATTTCCATACCCAATTGAATGTGTATGTTATTCCCTCCTTAAGCCAAATCCTATGAGAATAAGATTCACTCATTCCCTCTCACCTTCCCCGGTTTCCCCTCCACTGTAAGAGATTTGTTTTTTTGTAAGATAATTTACCCCATTCTACCTCTCCCTTTCTTCTTCTCTGAGTATAATCCTCTCTCATCCCTTAATTTTATTCTCCAGATATGACCCCTTAATCTTCAACTCACCCTGTGCCCTCTATCTATATACATACATATAATTTTTTTCCTCAACTACCCTAATACTGACAAAGGTCTCATGAGTTATAAATATCATCTTTCCATGCAGGAATGTAAACAGTTCAATCTTAATAAGTCTCTTATGATTTCTCTTTCCTGTTTACCTCTTCATGTTCCACTTGAGTCCTGTATTTGAAAGTCAAATTTTCTATTCAGCTCTGGTCTTTTCATCAAGAATGCTTGAAAGTCCTCTATTTCACTGAATGACCATTTTTTCCCCTGAAGGATTATACTCAGTTTTGCTGGGTAGGTGATTCTTGGTTGTAATCCTTGTAATCTATCTCCTTTGCCCTCTGGAATATTATATTCCACCCTGGTCCTTTAATGTAGAAGCTGCTAAATCTTGTGTTATCCTGATTGTGTTTCCACAGTACTTGAATTGTTTCCTTCTGGCAGCTTGTAATATTTTCTCCTTGACCTGGGAACTCTGGAATTTGGCTATAATATTCCTAGGAGTTTTCCTTTGGGGATCTCTTTCAGGAGGAGATCTGTGGATTCTTTCAATTTCTATTTTGCCCTCTGGTTCTAATATATCAGGGCAGTTTTCCTTGATAATTTCTTGAAAGATGATGTCTAGGCTCTTTTTTTGATCATGGCTTTCAGATAGTCCAATAATTTTTAAATTCTCTCTCCTGGATCTATTTTCCAGGTCAGTTGTTTTTCCAATGAGATATTTCACATTGTTTTCTAATTTTTCATTCTTTTGGATTTGTTTTACAGTGTCTTGATTTCTCATAAAGTCACTAGCTTCCAATTGCTCTATTCTAATTTTTAAGGAAGTATTTTCTTCAGTAAGCTTTTGGACTTCCTTTTCCATTTGGCCAATTTTTCTTTTTAGGGCATTTTCTCCTCATTGGCTTTTTGGACCTCTTTTGCCATTTGGGTTAGGCTATTTTTTAAGGTGTTATTTTCTTCAGTATTTTTTTGGGTCTCCTTTAGCAAGCTGTTGACTTTTTTTCATGATTTTCTTGCATCACTCTCATTTCTCTTCCCAGTTTTTCCTCTACTTCCTTACTTGCTTCTCAAAATCCCTTTTGAGCTCTTCCAAGGCCTGGACTGATTCATATTTTTCTTGGAGGCTTTGGATGTAGGAGCTTTGACTGTTGTCTTCTTCTGGTTGTATATTTTGATCTTCTTTTTCACCAAAGTAAGATAATATAGTCTGACTCTTTTTGCGCTGCTTGCTCATGATCCTGGCCAATTACTTGAGTTTTAAACTCTTTGTTAAGGTAAGAGTCTGCTTCCAATGTGGAGAATGTACTGTCCCAAGCTTCGGGGTTTGTACAGCTGTTTTCAGAGATACTTGTAGGGACCTGTAAATTTTCAGTTCTTCCAAGGTGGTATGATAAGGGGTGAGGTGTTTACTCCTTTCCTGGCCTGTGACCACAAGTACTCCTTTCTGTCCTGTAACTGTGAGGAGGGGTTCCTCTCCACAGCCACTACAAGCTCCACCACACCAGCGCTCCTCCTCACCCCAGCACCGCCACCCAGAACTGTGACCCAGATCCAAACACGGGCAAAGCAAGAGATTCCTGCCTCAGCACTGGCAAAGAGATCCCTGCAATCCCTCTCTGATCAGCCACTGGATTCCCCCTCAGTCTGTGGGCCGGAAGCTCAGGAAGCAGCTGCGCCTCCCCCCTCCTGGCCCCACACTCTTGGGGAATGGAGCTGAGACCCCGCCTTCCTTTCTCAGCACCACAGAAACAGACTTTTCCCATTGACCTTCTAAGTTGTCTTTGGCATTCATGGATTGAGAAGCCTGGAAACTTCCACAGCTGCCCGAGATTCAGTCCTCTGAGGCCTGCTGCGAGTTCGCTGCGGCCTGCACGTCCACACCGCACTGTGCTGTGCTCCCAGCCCAGCATGATATACCTTTCTGATGAATCATCCAGATTGTCTTGGGCTGGAAATTTGTTTCACTCTGTCTTTTTGTGGGTTCTGCTGCTTCAGAATTTGTTTACAGCCATTTTTTATGAGTATTTGGAGAGGTTTGGGGGAGATCTCAAGCAAGCCACTGCTTTCACTCAGCCATCTTGTGGGTTATTTTATAGCCTGCAATTTTGCTAAAGTTGTTTATTATGTCAAATAGTTTTTTACTTGATTCTCTAGGATTCCCTAAGAATATCATATCATCTGCAAAGCATGATAGCTTTGTTTCTTCTTTGCCTATTCTAATATCTTCAATTCTTTTTCTTCTTTTATTGCTAAAGCTAAAGTTTCCAGTCCGATATTGAACAACATCCTTGTTTCACCCCCAAACTTACTGGAAACACTTCTAGCTTGTCCATGTTACATATGATGCCTGCTGAAGGTTTTAGGTAAATGCTACTTATTATTTTAAGGAAGACTCCATTTATTCCTATGCTCTCTAGTGATTTTAATAGGAATGGGTGTTATATTTTGTCAAAAGCTTTTTCTGAGGGGCAGCTAAGTGGCACAGTGGATAGAGCACGGGCTCTGGATTCAGAAGGACCTGAATTCAAATCTGGCCTCAGACACATGATACTCACTAGCTGTGTGACCCTCGGCAGGTCACTTAACTCCACTGCCTAGCCAAAAAAAAGTTCTTTTCTGCATCTATTAAGATGATCATGTGGTTTCTCTTAGTTTTGTTGTTGATACGATCAATTATGCTGATTTTTTTCCTAATATTGAATCAGCCCTACATTCCTGGTATAAATACTACCTGGTCATAGTGTATTATTCTTGTGATAAGTTGCTGTAATCTATTTGCTAATATTTTATTTAAATTTTTGCAACTGTATTCATTAGGGAAATTGGTCTAAAATTTTCTTTCTCTGTTTTGACTCTTCCCCGTTTGGGTATCAGCACTATATTTGTATCATAAAAAGAATCTGGTAAAACTCTTTCTTCACCTATTTCCCCAAATACTCCATATAGTATTGTAATTAATTGTTCTTTAAATGTTTGACAGAATTTGCTTATATATCCATCTGGCCCTGGAGATTTTTTCCTAGGGAGTTCATCAATGGCTTGTTCAATTTCTTTTTCTGAAATGGGGTTAAGTATTTTACTTCCTCTTCTGCTAATCTGGGCAATTTATATTTTTGTAAATATTCATCCATTTCCTTAGACTGTCAAATTTATTGGCATACAGATGGGCAGAACAGTTCTTAGTTAATGTTTTAATTTCCTCCTCTTTGGTAGTAGATTCACCCTTTTCATTTTTGATACTGCTAATTTGGTTTTCTTCTTTCTTTCTTTTTTAATTAAATTAACCAAAGGTTTATCTATTTTATTAGTTTTTTCATAAAACCAGCCCTTAGTTTTATTTATTCAACAGTTTTCTTAATTTCAATTTTATTAATCTCCTCTGGTTTTCAGTATTTCTAATTTGATGTTTAATTGGGAATTTTTAATTTGCTCTTTTACTAGTTTTTTTTTTAGTTGCATAAGCAATTCATTGATCTCCTCTTTCTCTTTTATTCATGTAAGCATTAGAGATATAAAACTTCCCCAAAGAACTGCTTTCGCTGCATCCCTTAATTTCTGGTATGATGTCTCATTATTGTCATTGTCTTGAATGAAGTCATCGATTGTTTCTATGATTTGTTGTTTTGTGGATCAGTGGAATAGGTTAGGTATGCAAGACACAGCAGTCAACGACTACAGTAAGTTAGTATTTGATAAACCCAAAGACCCCAGCTTTTGGGATAAGAACTCACTATTTGACAAAAACTGCTGGGAAAACTGGAAAGGAGTATGGCAGAAACTAGGCATAGACCAAATCCCATATGCCAAAATAAAGTCAAAAAGGGTTCATGATTTAGATATAAAAGCTGATACTATAAACAAACTGGGAGAGCAAGGAATAGCTTAAAATTTTTTGCACAAAAAAACCTCTGCAAGCAAGATTAGAAGGGAAGCAGAAAACTGGAAAAGAATTTTTACAAGCAGTATCTCTGATAAGGGCTTCATTTCTAAAATATATAGAGAATTGTCAAATTTATAAGAATACAAGTCATTCCCCAATTGATAAATGGTCAAAGATATGAACAGGCAGTTGTCAGATGAAGAAATTAAAGCCATGTATAGTCATATGAAAAAATGCTCTAAATAACTACTGATTAGAGAAATGCAAATCAAAACAACTCTGAGGTACCACAGCACATCTATTA